GTGTGCGGACCATTTTCATTTATATAGTGCTCTGTGAACACAAATTAGTTAAATCAGTTAAATGACGAAAAATTAGAAGTCTATTTACTTGTGACCACTCAGTGTATACAATATCTTTACATAATAGACAATCATAAGTATAAATACTTTTATGTAATAGACAATCATAGGTATAAAATACCTTTATGTAATAAACACTCATAAGTATAAAATACCTTTATGTAACAGACAATCATAAGTATAAAATACGTTTATATAATAGCACTCATAGGTATAAAATACCTTTACGTAATAGAAATTCACAGTTATAAAATACCTTTATGTAATAGACACTCACAGGTATAAAATACCTTTATGTAATAGGTAATAGACAATCATAGGTATAAAATACCTTTATGTAATAGGTAATAGACAATCATAGGTATAAAATACCTTTACATAATAGACAATCATAAGTATAAATACTTTTACATAATAGACAATCATAGGTATAAAATACCTTTACATAATAGACAATCATAGGTATAAAATACCTTTACCACAGTGAAATAATTTGCTGTCTTTCCATCCATTATGGCTTGAGGTCATTAACTGTATCAGAGTGGTGAAACAATTCTCATGACTTTCAAACTATTGTGATATTTCACTGCATTAATTCATGTTCTTGAAATAGGATTATCTTACGCAAGAGATGCTCATGAATGTGGGTCACTTCAAACCCTAAAAAATATAACTTGTGCAATGTTTTCAGTTAGAAATGTGTATTATATTTCTGAATACTTGCATATTGATTTGTCACTTGCAATTTGCAAGGTTGATGTAGTTTAAATACTGTTTATATTTGTTTCAGATTGTAATTGAAGGTCATGCAGTTAATAATCAAAGATACATTATTGCATTAGATGATCTTGAATTGAAACCAGGGGCTTGTATATCAGGTAAGCGAATTGTGTTCAAATGTTTACCAATGTTGTATCTTTCAATATGTTATATGTATCATAAAAACACCTAAATGGCTAATACTATATTTGAAAATCATATAGAAAAAGGCTTTGTTTCTTGACATTATGATTTGTGCATTGATTAATATAATAATAATAGCAGCTCATATGTCATTTCCACTCTTTTTTTTTTCTTGTTTATTACTTTGTAGATTACTTATTTATTTTGAGTTTTAATTTGAGATGACTTGTACAATGCATAGAGATTTAAGGATTTTTTAATTTTTTCTCTCTCTTTGTCTATAAAACTAATATGGAACTACTAAATTTTCTTTCTCTAGTATGTAGCTATCCTTACTCCCTTTTGGATGAAGTTTGTAAAAAAGTATTAAGCTATTATCTAAAAATTGTTGTAAACATTGGATTGCTCTTTAGTTTTGAAAAAAATCAAATCAGGATTCACAGCAGCTAAATCGTTTTTTTGCAATTACATTCTGAAATAAAGCTATAATGATCAGTTTAATACTTTTAATAATTTCTTTCTCATGACAGTTTTAAATGAAAGAATATCCTTCAAATGGTGATAAAAATACCAATCTTAGGTGAAAATATTCAATAAATTTGAATTGCTTTCACCAATTTGCCAATATAACCAATAATGATGAAAGCTAAAACAAAAGAATTGTATATAAAAATCTAGAATAGTAGAAAATCGTCAAACTCTCATAGTTTAACTGTGTTTAGAAATATGTTCAAAAAGTTTATTAGAATTTGCTTTTTCTACTCTTGTTTATAGACATAAGAAGGATAAAAATAATTGCAATTCAAACATTGAAAATATAACACTTGCTGAACTTGCAGTTTTATAACTGACATGCATAAAAATGAAAGAAATATAAAAGCAGGTAAAAAAATATATATTTTACACAATTGTAATAATTATTACGTTTCCCATTAAATACTTTTAATTTCTTTTTCTTCTGAGATTAGACTTTAAAGTTGACATATCGTTTTTGCAATGAGATATTTTTGTATGTTCAGTTCTACCTCATGTATTTTATATTTTTCTTGGAACAGATGTTTCCATCCTTTCTTTACTAGCCACGTGAATACTATATTTTAAGTAGCCAGATTAAGCCTTGGTTTAAAATACATAAATTGAATACATATTACTGTTATTCAGATACACGTGTTTTTAAATATACTTCTTTCTTGAGTAAAATTATCTGTTTATTGTAGAATCCAAACAAGTAGAATGTGATTTTGAGGCTGGATCATGTGGTTGGATCCTGGATTCATCAAGTACTGCAAACTGGACTGTAGCTAAAGGAGCTATTTCAGGAAGTGCAGGCCCACAGGCAGATCATACCACTGGAGGTTAGTCTTTGGATTGAATGACTGATATTTATCAGTAACACTTTTCTCTGAATAAACATGATAACTAAAGAATCTAAGTTTTGAATTTTTCAACTGTACATTTTAATAATTAAAAACACTCATATGATCAATGTTGTTAGGTAAACAATTTAACTGTTTCATCATGGGCTTGGTCCCTGAGACCGACCTCGTAACCATTTTGTGCTTGTTATAGTTTTCAAGCTATAACTTTTAAATTAGTAAGTATATATTAACGAAATTTGGCAGTTTATCAGTAAACATTACAATGCTTTCATACGCAAAATATCAATTTTTTTTTTTTTTATTTTAGTCTTAAGGTTTGTAAAGCAATGTTTTTCTCATGCATTGTTTTCTTTTCGCATTTTGACTATCCATCATGCAAAGTAATTTTCATTTTAAGATTAAAAATACTTTTATGCATCAGAAAATTTTCAAATTTCACATCCGAAATCTTTGTAATGCCCAGATAGTTCTCAAACGTTTCTTAAGAAAAAACTTTATATTTCATCTGTTATTTTCAGTAATGAATCTCTGTACAGGTTCGGTAGATTTGACCGATCTTGTAACCACCATAAAAAATTTGGAAATAAATATAAATTATACCTCTTTCATTCTAGAATGACTACAAATTATAACATGAAAATATAAATGTTTAGACAAAATAGCTTAAATCTCATAACATTATATCTATTATTTTTATTATATTGACATATCAGCCGTGCCTGGCTAACAATACAGAAGTTACAATGACGAGGCACATATGCAGTCATGTTACTGTATCCAATAATATAAAACTGATCTTTAGTCTTTACAAAGTGACCTGTCTTGTCTGTGTTTTAGTAGACTAGTATTTTGTAAAATACAGTCACATTTCAATTATTAAACATGATATATGTATATAGATTATTGCTATTTAGAAATAAGTTCTTAAACATATTTTTCTTAAAAATAGAACAGTAAATAAAGAAATAAAGCAAACAATTATCTCTTCTAGTTATGACCTTTGTAGTCAGTTGCTGCTTGACGTAGGTTGCTAAGCGTGGAGGATATGAAACAAAATAATTTTTTTTGGTTTTATATATACAGTTGAATAACCAAAAAATCATAAATTACTGTATTGATACCACAGAATTCCACTATAATTTATCAAGCTTAGTAACTAAACTGTATTTCAGTCTAAAAAAATATGAAATTTCGAGCAGACTTGAAATCTTGGTTCAAAAGAAAGAGATGGCATCTAAACACGTTAAATTGGCTGAGAAAGTCACCAGAGGGACATTGGGAACTTTCAATTGGTTATTCATGTCGTATATAAATGTAAGTGTATATAAGGGAGTGTTTCCAAAAATGTAAAAAGGTGGTTGGGGTGCCACTTGTTTGATTTATTACATGAGCAATATCTTAGCAAATACAAAAGATAAAAGGTTCTTATTTTATATTCTAGCTTGTCAGTATCAGTAATTTGAGTTACTAATTTGTACAAAACTATAGACTTAGTATTTTGACATCACAAACATCTAATGTAAGCCAGTGCTGCATTCAATATACCACGTGGTACACAAAATTGATGTTTAACTGTGTTTTTTTAATATTTACTTTTAAATTAAGGAATTGAATAATGTATAATACTAAAATTTGAATTATAAT